TGAACGCCTCCTTCGCTTCTTCCGTAGTTCCTCCATTGTCTCCACCTACACTCTTCGTAGATGTGTCCGGTATCGGCGTAGCTGCAAGCAAAAGCTAAAGTAAATCCGATTAATGGCAATCGTTGTACTATTTTCCTGCTTGGCTGACTCCCACCAAGGAATTGTGATCATTAGACCACTAAAAACTAGCTACACATTGGAAAGCCCCACGGCTAGTGTCGATGGGTGTGTAACATGGGAGAGGAGCACATAGCGTTGGCTACTACCCCAAACATTACCCTTGTTCGCCTATGCCCTCTCATAGATTTAGATGCCTCCGAAGAGGACTAAAATCACCTAATTCACTCAGTCATTATCTCTTGGAAGCACAAGCAATCTCGAAGCAGTCGAGATGACGGTGAGACAGCTGGGCAGTATTTTGGACCACTCCTAGCGTTGATTTTGGGTTTGTGGGCGATTCTGGTTAGTTGTCGCTATTAGCTTCGTCCCAACCTGATCTAGTCGCGACCAGCCGTAGACACATCTCACCACCATCATTCCCACTGCGCTAAGCCGCCTTTCATAATTCCAGCCTGCGACCAGCACTCCCTGCTGCAGAGTATCGCAGGCTCTGTAAGCCTTTCCCCTGAGCATCTCGGTTACAGAGAAGACTTATTCGCACCCTTTAAAGCTGAAGAACTTGGCTTCTCTTCTCATCAACCGAAGTCCGTTCTCGCTCGCCACCTCCACGGCTTGCCCTGGAACTCTTCTCTACTTTCCGCTTCTAGTGGGATGCATCAGGCGTAAGATGGTCTTCAGTGGTACATCCATATATCCTATTAACGTGGTACCACGATCAGTATGATGAGAACGGGCTCAAGGCTAGTCCTGCAGGGACACCAACCGTATCTGTTGCTTTTATTAAGCTACGAGGGATGAATATGGCTTTTTTGGACGTATCGTACATATCCTCGATAAAGGAGGTTTAGTATTCTGAAGCGTTTCAATTTCGTCGCGCTCCCCAGAGGTGTGGTTGTAGTGTACGGTCAAATGCCTGCTTCAGATCGAGGAAGGCCACATAGCAGCTTCTGAGAGACAGTGACAAGATCCCTCACTTTTGAGGCGACTATTCCCTCGTGTAGTTTCGTACTATCCGCAGTCATCCTGATCTTCCGGTAGTAGGACCACTCAATCTCATCGCCCTTATCCTCGAAAATGAGAACGTAGGACTGGTCCTCCAGGCATCTAAATCCTTCCTTCAGTAGACACAGTATTCAGAACCTAGTGAGCCTCGAAATTCGCGCTTCAAGATCACCCTATTATGCGATCGAATCCCCCGTAGCCTCTAATAGAGAGTTGTCTACATAATGGCTTTCTTCACTAAAGAGCCCATGTTCCAGCCAGCTCTCAACCTGAACAGGCTTCCTAAGGATTACACTTTCGCTGTGCTATACAGCTCTCACTACTCCAATGTCTCCAGCAATGCCCTGATGTCGGGCACTACTCCGATGTTCTGATGCCAGTTATTAGTCAGCCGAGAGAAGGACAGCTAGTATTCTTCTCGAACGCAAAGCTTCTAGTATAGAGCGAGCTCTGATAATGTAGGCATAGCGAATGAAAGTGTTGGGATACTTCAACGTCTTCAATAGATCTGGCCCTATCATTCT